CAGGGTGATTTTTTACATTTATGTGCCCAAACTTGTTAAAATATGGCCAATACTACACCTGATTCATCCCACATCCAGTGACTGGAATTCTGTCCCATTATGCAGCAAGGTTTACTGCCAACACATCCTGCAAGAGACTTCCTCTCAAAACAGGTCAGTGTTGTACATTTAGAATGTGAAGCAGGGAAAACCCCAGAAGGGTGAGATCCTCAGATAATCATAGAATCGTTTAGGCTGGGAAAGCAAGATCCTCAGATAATCATAGAATCATTTAGGTTGGGAAAGACCTTTCAGATCATCAAGGCCAACCATGAACCTAACTGCACAGTCCACTGCTAGGCCGTTGGCCTCAGCACCACATCTCCATGGCTTTCAAACACATCCAAGGAGGGTGATTCAGCCAGTTCCCAAAGCTGGACACTGCACTCAAAATGGGTGTTTTCCCAAATTCCACAGCTACAGGGCTGTGCCAGGGGCAGCAGCAGATGTGAGGCCACAGCTGGAACAGGGATGATGAGGCACAACAGAGGCACAGTGCAACAGCATTTACAACCTCACTTCATTTGCAGCGTGTGAAGCAACCCTACCTCAAAGTCTTACTGACCTGGAGCTGCACACGAAGTCTCCCTTCTTCTCTTCCCCTTAAATTGGAGATGAAATGAGACTAATAAATCATTTCTCACTGTAATTTGCAAGGACTGAAAAAAAAGCCTAACCAGCAGGCACTGGCATAACTGGGAGCTTGTGCTCTGAGAACCCATGAGGGAAGATTGCAGACAGGCTTTTCTCCACAGTCAGACCCCTCCACTGACTCAGAGCTTGCTTCTATTTGCTTTTTCCTATCCAAACTCCAGATCCACTGATTATCTGTCTTGTTCTGTCTAAAAATAAGCCAAACATCTCCGTTTGTGTGCCTAAATAGCCCACTGCTGTCGTTTCTCACCTTCTGAAATTACAGTTCAAAACTTGCCTTTTTTCCTCCCCTCCCATCATCAGCTCTTCCTTTCCTGGCTCACATGGCACGCTGCTCTGTGTCCTCTTCTTTGTAACTAGTCTGAGATTAATTAATTAAGCAATAGATTTTTCTTGATTACAATGCTTAGAGCTCTTCTTTCTTCACAAATTAAAACCAGGATGATAGATCTTTTATTCTGGGTGGTTACAAAAATAGAATTTCATCTGCATGGTGGATAAGAAAAATTTTAATACCTACTTAAGCAACTATTTTCATGTCAGATTGGGTGAATATTAGGGTTTTTGTTTTGTGAGGTTGTTTTTAATGGGACTGAAGGAGGACTAGGAAGCTTCCAGAGAAACCAGATGTCAACTGCAGCAACCCCAGTGAAGATACTAAAAAAACCCCAAACCAACAATAACCAAAAAAAAAACCCCCAAAACCACAACAAGAAAACCACCAAACTAACAAAGCCTTGCTCCCAAGAGAACAGATAAGGCAAAGCCAAGATAATGAGCAAGCAAAATAATATCAATCCCCATTTTACAGATAAAAAGTGGAGAGCCCCAGTCAATCTGTCATCTATTGCAGCCTCCCAGTGACCCCATCTGGTGACAGGCCTCAGGACTGGAAATGCACAGCCCAGAATTGGCTGCCTGCCTGCCAAAAAAATCCACGTTGGCCCCTTCTCCTGACTTTCACAGAGCTACTAAAGCCCTTACAACTCAGTGCTTACAGTATACTGAGAATCAGCCATCCTTGGCACAGTCTGCACTCACCCAACACCATCACTTCCAGATTTATCACAAGCAGAGATGATTTCTCAGCAAAGCTGCAGCTAGAAATCCCAAGCTCGTTTCTGTAACTCAGGGAGAGATTGATTTGGATAAAATAATGAAGCACGTGTGTGGAAGACATCTAGCTCCCCACAGCAGTATCACAGACACAAGCTTTCTGACAGCATTTTACAGCACTGCTGCTCTTTCTAGACACCCTTGACTGGCCCAACGAGCTGCTGATTCAGGTGTTGATACTTCAAAACTTGACTACACAGTGTTTTAATTAAGTAATTTGTTTTCTGGAGCTCATTTCTCACAGAAAGCTCGTTTGGAGAATAACACCGACAGGAAATTTGTCACCTACAGAGAGAGCTGGGAGCTTTCCCCCCACTTCAACAGTCACCATCTCAAACTGCTCCTTGATGGAATTCCCTTATCCCCCATAGAGTTCATCTGGTTTTGCCTCTCTAAACCTGGCTGGGGAGCTCCTCCTGCCCTTGCCCAGGGGTGGGAGCCTGCAGCCTGTGCTGCCCAAGCCCTTCAGCAGGTCACAGGCTATCACACCCCACTCAACCCCTCAGGGAGGCTGGAGGAGGCAGGACCTTCCTCCACACCACTCTTCCTTCTTAGCCAGACTCAAATTATTTCTGTTTTAGATGGAGAGTACCCCTAAGGCCACACTGGTTAGTGTCTAGATGCTGTATCTCCCAGGGAGGAAGCTGTAGCAAGCACTTGGTGCCATACCTGAGAACATCTGCAGGATAAACCCTGTGAAAGTTTCAACACAATGAACATCCAGAGCTAACCAAAGATGACTGGTGCACATCAAACCCTACAAGAGGGTCTCTGCACTGAAAGCAGCATTGCCTCTGTCTCCCCACGGGTCAGACCTATCTGCAAAAGCAGTAAGTGAAGATGATGCAGAGGGGAAGGGAAGGAGGAAGATGGTGGAAGAGGCAAACCTGAAAATTTTACAAGCAGCTAGAAATGCTTAAAAGTAACAGATTCTGGAAAGAAAAGGAAAAAAAATCCTGTCTGCTCCCAGGGATCCAGCTCCACATCCTTCAGCAGTGAAAAAACAAAAACCTTTGCAGACTACTGTAGGGAGTAAATAAAGAATAAGAGATAAGAGCTGCTAATCCTCCCTGACCCTCACGGAGCTTCGTGCCACCTCCTGGCTACACAACACTGGCATCACCTATCACTTTCCAAAAACACTGCTCATCTCTATTTCTGTAATACTGTCTCCTGGCATCACAAGTACCACCTTTTGTCTTTCCTCCTCCTCTCAATCTGATGTACAATTTCTTTCCATAACAATAGCACATTTTCTAACCAAAAAAAAGACCCCCCAGCCACTGAGTTAAGTTGCTGTTCAATCTTTACCTCTGCTCTAGCACGAGACAGATTTGAAAGTGAGTCATTCAAATGGTTTCAAGTCTTACACGTTTATGAAAATTCTAAAATGTCTCTCACAGTGTAGGAAGAGCAATAAAACCACACTGCACCCCAGGCACAAACCAGCCCAGCTACCTGCCAGCCAGCAGCTGGGATCTCTGCTCCCCTCCTGCACCTCTCCCAGGGTGGCAGCTTGCCTCCTGAGCTGGCACCAACCCCTGAGGACCCATTTTTGTGGGCTCAGGCTCTTTTTCACAGTCCTTTGACACCTCTGCAGTGCTGGCTGAGGCAGTGGAGCTCCTGCCAATTTCCACTGGCCTGCTCTGCGCAGGGAAGCAGATGCTGTGTGACTCATGCAGTGCTTGCAGACACAAGCTATGGATAACAGCACCATAATTAACAATGCCAAATGTCCTCTCTACAGTTTAAGCATGCAGATGTTAATGCCCGTGGCACATGACCACATTAATTTAGGAGGCAGTGTCTGCTCCTACCAGCAGCTTGCAATCCTCCAGTGCTGTTGACCACAGCATGGCTTGTGGGCCACGCAGGTGGAAACCACACAGGACTCCTCTGCTCTCCAAAGTGATACAAGAAATAAAGTGAAACAAAGAGGTTCTGATTTTCACTTATCATACGAGTGGTTTTCAGTGAATTCTGAGTGTCAGAAAGGGACAAACACCCAGAGCAGACAGCCAGCTAACTGTGCCTTTGAACAAAACAGAAGGAAAAAATCAAATCAATGGCCCCTGTCAGAACTAAGAGCTAAATGCCCCCAAGCACACAGTGTTAGCCAGCTAGGAGAGAGTGTGAGTCAAGCTGTGGCACACAGTGGACCTTCCCTAAATGGACTTCAAAGCACCCCCAAGCAGAGGTATTCCACTCTAAAGCTCTGCTTCAGTTCTCACACAGAAATGCCAGGGTATTTGGGGAGCACAAGCAAAAACCTAAGATGCAGGGGGAACCAAAGCTGGAATTTTCCCCTGGTGACAAGGTCAGAACTGCCTCAGAGCCCGTGGTTTTTTCCACAGCCAGGCAGCACATTGCCTTAGTCCCTCTGGAAGGCGGCTCCTCAGCAGCCACTGGCACAGGTTCCGCGGGAACACCGAGGGCTGAGTGCCACCTACTGGGCTCTTCATCGGGTCCCTCCTGCTGCAGCCAGATTCCTTGACACCTCTCAAGTGGGGAGCACCCAGTCCTTCCCAAACTGCTGCCTCAGGCACAATCACCAGATAAGGTGATGTAGCAAAAACGTTTGAATCTTAGGCTAGGTGTAAGTCCTTGCAGAAGAGCCTAGCAAGTCGAGAAGCTGCCTGGCGGGACCTGGAACTGAGCAGGGACGTGGCTAAGACTGCTGTGAGGACAGGAGGAGAGAGCTGGGACTGTTCAGCCCGGAGAAGGCTCCAGGGAAACCTTCTTGTGACCTTCCAGTACTTAAAGAGGCCTGTCTTAAATGGGAATGGACTTTTTAGCAGGGCCTGTTGTGACAGAACAAGGGGCGAGGGTTTCAAACTCAAAGAGGAAGATTCAGACTAGTGAGAAAGAAGAAATTTTTGACACTGAGGGTGGTGAGACTCTGGCCCAGGTTGCCCAGAGAGGTGGTTGATGCCCCATCCCTGGAAAGATTCACTATTGATCAGTGAATATTAGAGAGTGACCACGATAATGCTGGAAGCCAAAACCACTGTCCCCGAAGTCCTGAAGGGGCTTCACGAAACTTCAGTTAACTGTCACAAAAGGGATAAAAAACCCAACCAACCATAATTTAGGAGGAAAAACAGGCAGAGTAAAAAAAAGTCAACAGAAAAACATTTATTGCTTAAAGCTCTCTCTGGCTACGGGAAGAGCCAGCAGGGGGTTGCCAGCAGTCAGGCTGGCAGCTCGTCTCTCACCAGCACGGGGAAGCGCCTGCCCCCCTCGCAGAGCTGCGCGTAGAGCGCCCGGTAGAGCTGAGCTGCAGAGGCCTCTGGGCAGAGCCTGGGCTCCAGGAGGGGCAGCAGTTCTGCCATCATCACCTGGGCAGGAGCAAAGGAGACACGTCACCAGAGCCAGCAGCACTTTTAGGATTCCATGAAATGAACCGGCTGCCTAAGGAGTGAAATCTAACCTGAGCAGTGTGACTAATAACACGTCACTTGATTGAAAGGTATTTTCCTTTGTCACATTTAACAAAGGCAGAGCTGTTCATCCTCTGCTCATGAAGTGCATCAGCAGCCACTCAGTGTTCCCAGAGCAACGAGATACACAGTGGTGCTTCCTCTAGTCTGTGCTCCTGTCAGGCACCTCCCTCACACCATCTTTCTGCGGTGGAAACAAAGGAAGACCCAAAGAGAACAGGGTAGAAGGTATCTGCAGGGGGGTCCCCTTTCCTGTTCTCCACAGAACTCTGCAAAGGGACAGGGGAACAGGGCACAGTTGCTCATCTCTGGGAAGTCAAGAGCTGCAGATATGAAAGCTACCTAAGAGGGAAGCTGGCACATGGAGTGCTGCACTGCTCTGCTCCCGAGGAAAGCCCCAGGTCTGCTCCTGCTGCACAGGAAGGAGGAAATGGCATCAGAGATGGGCCAAGAGTGACCAGGGCTTTCTGTGATCCTTGTCATCCCTCCATGGGAAGGCAAGGAACAGGCTCAGCTCAGAAATACACACATCCCTTCCTGGGGTATGATCTTGTACCGAGGCCACGTGCTTCACCTGTCCCAAGAACTTCCCCCGTCCTGCACACCCTGCACAAAGCTGCTATTTAGATAGATGTGCAGAACAAACCACATCACTTGAAGCATCAGGCAGCAGGCTGGGGTCACTACTTCATCCTGGGCAGACAGAAATCAAAAACCTCACATCCCTTCATTCAGGATTATAGTACCATTTGAAGCCAGGCAGCAATCTATCTCCCAGCCAGAGGAAGGAACGTGGACAGTTACAAATAACTCTTCCCTGGCTTACAAAAAGTGGCTTTTCCAAAGCCTCTACCATTCAGGTCAGCAGCAAAGGTGAGGTCAAAGGAGTGGATGTGATTTCACAGATCTTCTCTGCCTTTTCCTGCTGCTCTGCTCAGGCTGATGGAGAGACTGCCTTTCTTTTGTGCTCTTACAGGCAGTTTCAAAACTGTAAAGTCAAGATTAACAGCACAGTGGTTTGAGATTTGGAAAGAAAGGAACAGAGGAGCTCACTAGAGGTCATGCAGGAGAGAATGACAAAGTAGGTGCCCTGGTGGGAATGTAAAAGGCTGCCAAAAGGCATCTCCAGGCATTACCAACAACATCCTTCACTGCCAAACTCTAACAGAGCAGCTAAAAAAAACCCTCCAAATCTTATCAGATGAGGGGTCAGACATCTAAAGGCCCCTGCTCTGGCCTGAACAAAAAAGTAAGTCAATTCATCTACAAAATAAGCAAGGCACTGGTGGGACTTGGACACAAGGCATAGGGAAAGCTGCTGCCTGCCCACCAGGGCCCCATACACCCACTGGCTGCTGCCCCACAACTGCTCTTTCCTTGCCCTACCAACACCTGTAAAGACTCACCTTTTGTAAGGCAACTTCCTGGTGCAGCATTGACACTTGCAGCTTCAAGGCAAACAGGTCCTTCAGCTCCTGGAAGCTGGAGTAACACAGGAGAGGTGCAGCCAGGATGTCTGCACTGTCACACAGCTGTCCCCTGGGAGCAGCACAGGCTGGAGAGCAGCTTCCCACATCCCCAGCACAGTCTGGGTGCAGCTTCATCTGGGATTCCACAGCTGCCAGGGCAGAAGAATTGGCAGGAGGCAGAAATACACAAGTTAAATAGGGACTTGTAGAATTTGTAATCTACTTAGTGTTCCTAGACATGACTGACTGACAGGGTAAGCACTGCACAGATCATGCATGCAGCCTCCCCCTCTCCAGCAGCTCCCTCACCAGCCCTCCTGAACTGCAGCAGTTAGTCCCAAGCCTCTCCTCCACACAGATCCATGGCAGACAGACCCCACAGCTTTGTTTGCCACCAGAGAATTTTACACGCTACGTTGCCATTAAGGATAATCAGGAGAAAAATTGTGCTGGTCTGCAGTGTTCTGTGCACAGCTGGCAAAGTTCTGTGTACACTCCTGCCCCACCACAAACCAGGGACTGGCTCACCAGCCTGCAGGAGCTGCAGCTTGTTCAGGCACTGGGAAACTGTGGTTTGCAAACCCTCCAAGGTCAGAAGGCTTTCATACTCCCTTTGCAGAGTGGGGTGCTCTAGAAGAGACGCAGAGGAAAACCAGCAGGCATGAGCACTCTGAAACCTTCCCCTCCCAATACCAGTTTCTAGACTGGCCTTGAGTTCACCAGCCCTCATATTAGGCAGAGAATGCTCCAGTCCCTCACATCCAGCAAATGCTAACAACAAGAGTTCACAGAACTGGATCCCACTGAAGTCATCCTTATTCCAACATCTGCCCTCTCCATTCACCTTTTTTCCTCCTTACCTGTAGGCTCAGCTTCCACATACTGCCTCAGAAGGGCAGGGACATCCTGGAGGACCTTCAGTTCCTCCTCTATCTCTGCAGGACTGAGGGCTGGCGTTGGTGAGCAGAACTTACACAGCAGCAGCTTAAGGAAGGTTTCACACCAGCTCTGTGCACCACCCCAGGGGCAGGGGCAGCTGGAACCAGGGGCAGGGGCGAGCAGCCCGTGGAGTGGCACTGCAGGGGGAAGGGGAGGACAGCACAGCTCTGGACAGCATGCTTGTCTGGATCAAAAGTTTTACAACTGCTCAAGAGCTGTACTATGAAAAAAAAAAAAAAAGCCAAACCAAAACCCACTTCCTAGAGACCCAGCTTGACCTCCTGTTACTGGGAGCATAACTCTCCCCAGAGGGGAGCACGCTGCAGCGGCTGCACCTCGTGCTTGGGGAAGGGGTGCTGAGCTCAGGAAGGATACACTGCTCTGGATCTTCTCCAGGAAACGGCTCCTTGCAGCTGCTGCATCTGCACTTGTCTGGCAAAGACGACATCTCTCCCATGCCCTGAAAATCCAGAAGGGGCAGGAGGTGGAGGAGTTGGGCTCCACTGTACCAGCCAGCGCTCACACTGAGCTCTGACACCCCAATGTAACCCAGCAGCACTTCAAACACAAGCACCTTCCTCACCCCTCCCTTTTACAGGTTCCTTACTAGCCAGTCCCCCTCCTTTGAGGTATGAGATCAAAGACACCCCACAGAAGGCATTAGACATGGCAAAACACCTCTCTTATTTCTTGGCTTGTTTTGAGGGGATGGATTTACAGCCACCAGAAGACAGACAAACACCCTTCTGTAAACAGATTGTGAGCTTGCAGCACATCACTAATTCTTTTCTGTCACCCTACCTAGATTGTTATTCCATAGGAAACAACAAATCTTCCCCTTCCTTTCCTGAGGGGCAAGTAATTTGCATTTACTCTGGGAGTGAATGTGTACAAAGAGCACAGCAGACAGGACAAATTCTCACCCTAGCTTTTAACCACAGCAATTCCTTCCTAGGCCAAACTTCCTCAAGACTCTCCTTTAGTCCTTTTTGGTTTGGGGTTTGGTTTTTTTTGGACAAAGTGGTATGTCTGGCAAGAAACAGGACAGCAGCACATCAATATCAGGGTCACCAAACACAGAGGCTGAAGGACAATACCATGGGTTGGCCAGCCAGGAGCTTGGATCAGAGTCCAGCTTTTTACAGAGCTACACAAATGTGCTACCAGAGAGGTGAGTTTCACCTAGAGCTCAACGTCCCCACTGATGCACAGTCCCCATGATGTCCTTTAGGTGAAAAGCTGCTTTGAAGAGCCAGTGCACCTCAGCCAGCCTCCCCAAACCTGCAGCAGTAAGTGAGGAGCCATCAGGAGGGAGATTAAAACAGTTCTGCAGAGCATGACTGTCTAACCTGAGCGTGTGCACGTCTTCTCTCCAGCCAAATGGATCTTTTAAATCATGACAGAAGATGCAGTTTTCAGAAACACACACATTATGCAAGCAACTAGTGAGGTTGATGGAACAGAACAGGAGTTACCAGGCAAGATGCATTCCCTCTCTAAGGGATTTTTAGAGCAAAGGTTATTTTCAATCTGTCACTGAGCTGAAAGGAATAGTGAAGAGTGTAAAATTGCACCAGAGTGATTAGGATGCCAAAAAGCTCAATTTACAAGTGAAAATGGAGGGAATCAAGTCTCTACAATTCACTGAAAGGCAACTAACAAATTGGTGTCTGATAAAAATACTTCCCAAGAGGAGGAGGAATTCTTGAGGGGAGCACAAGGAGCTATAGCTAGATGAACACAGAGTTTAAGATTCCTATCTGGACAAACCATGTGAAGAGAAATATGCTGAATTAAGGCAAGATTTGTCAAGAAGAGCAGGAAATGTTGCAGAGGACTGGAGAATGGACTAGAGCATTGAGCTCACCAGAAACCAAACCACCTACACCATGGGGTCAGTGCCTCCCCGTGCCCCACAGACCAGCCAGGTCTGCCCCATCTGAGCCCTCCCTGCAGCCCTTCAGCAGAGAGCAGTTCTGGACTGGACTGACCAGGAAGGGCTTACCTGGAGTTCCTGGAATAAGCTTTCCTGTAGGGAAGGGGTAGCTTCAGCTGGCATCTGCAAGACAAGAGAAGCATCAACCCTGCCTGCCAGAGAGCCGTGGAGCCTCGTCTTCAAACAGAGAGAATGACATTGTCTAAATTTGAAATAGCTGTAACAGAAGATGCCAACAGCCCTGGAGGAGCTGTCTGCTGCCAGCATCACTGAGCTGAGCTGGGAGAGCTCCTGCACCCTCCCACCAGCCAGCAGAGGCCCACCCAAGGCAAGAAGCTGGGAGCAAAGCCCTGACAAGGCAGAGTACAGACATGGGAACCACACATCCAGGAGGCTGATCAACACAGCCAAGGGCACAGGCAGATCTCCCCCACTCTGTTGCCCAGTGTGCCCAGGCAGTTTGGCTTAGAACCAAATCCCACTCAAACAGGAAAGGGACATTTCAGCTTCCACCAGGAACAGGCACCTTAACCCCAAAGTAGAACAATCCCCAATTTGTTACTGCAAAGACAGATGGGTTGGCAGTTAAAGCTCAAGTCACATGCAGACAACTAACACAAGGCAACAGTTGGGATTTTAAGTAAACAAACATTTGCATCCAGCAGCCATCCAGCACTGCAGGAACAGTGATAACTTCCTCCTGCACAAACACAGCAGTGGGGTTGTGGCACCTGAGAACTGTTTCTCAAACTTTTCCAAGGGCAGGCACACACCAGATCTCAACTTCACTGTTTCTTTAAAGCAAGGAGCACACAGAAAAGAAGATGGAAATTCAAACAAGACATTGCTCCAAATGCAAAGCCAACTTTCTAAGTAGTATTTTGCTACTTTTCCACTGAGAATCTTGGTAACATCCACTTCTTAATTCCTCCCACCTGAAACAACTGCATTCTAGTCAATACTGATTTGTGTAGTTACACGGGCAGTATCTTACAGATTAAAGAGGACAGTATTAAACCCAGATGCCTTCTCTCCAAGCAGCACCAGGCATATGGTTTTGAGAGAGAGAATCAATGTGTTACATGTTATCCTTGTGTAAAAAGAAAAAGAATCAGTGAGCTGTAATAGAAAGGGCACTCAGAGGAAAACTAAGGCTCCAGAAAGCTCTACAGCAACAGCTTTCCAAACAGTCACAGGCGACCATGAAATATCAGAAGTCTGAATTGAAAGGCTTTCAAAGTCCCAGCCATCCAAGAGTAAGTCCTGAAAGTGAAAATGCTTCCTCAATCACAACAAAGGCTGTAAAGGAAAGGATTTGAGGAGTGGTGAGACCAAGCTGGGTGCTAGAGAGCAGCAGGAGAGAGCAGGCCTTGCAGAGCACAGAACAGGACAGAGGTGCCCACCTCTCAGCACTCACCCCTTCTCCTGCAGCGTGACTGCCCGAGGGGAGATGCTCCTTCCCAATGCACCTTCAGCTGTAGGGTTCTCCTTTATGCTGGGCTCTCCCAGGGCACCACAACTTTCCTTCCCTGCATCAAATAACTCCTTGCCAGCAGCTACAGAGCAGTTCTTCTCTCCAGCAGAATCTCCTGCAGAAATGCTTTGCTGCTCATTCAGGGCAGGTCTGGACAAGCCAGGTGTCTTTTGGGGTTGAGCAGAGGTACAGACATCTCTGTCACTAGCACCGATTGCTGTCCTATGACTCCTCCCTTGTTTGCAAGCCACCCCTTTGGAGGAGCTCTTCCCAGCTGTCCTGGGACCTTGAAAAACGTATCTGGCTGGGGCTTTCCTTTGCAGTTTTTTCACATCTGGGTCAGTCCTATATGGTGCTTTTAGCTGGTAGGGAGAAGGCTTCTTCAGAGAGGCAGGCTTCTTGCTTACAGCTCTCACCTTTGTGCTCTCAGGAATATCCTCAACAGCTACAGGCACTGGCTGCTCTTCAGCATTCTTAGGAGCAGATCCCTCACTTGCAGATTTCTCTCCTGTAGCTCCCTGGGCCTCTAATGGAGTTTTCAAGATGCTCTTCCTGACTTTCAGTGCTTTCTCTAAGGCCCTGTTCAGCAGTTCCAGCTCCTCCAGCTCCTTGGGTGAAGGCCTGTTCTCTGCAAGAGGAGAAGACATATCAGAAGGTCCAAACCTGGATTTTCACTATTTGCCTCTACAATAACTCACTCTTCAGGTGCCACAGGGGAAAATCAAACCCACCGAGTGGTGCAGCAAGTATTTTGGCCACACTCCCACAGCAACTACACAGAGGATTTAAGCGGGCTTGCCAGAGGCCTTGAAGAGCCAAGATGGATAAGAGTCAGGAGGAGACAGTTCTCCCAAGTTAACCTCCCCCTCATCAACAAATAACCATCACCACTGCTCGGCCCGGTCCCCGGACACTTCCCCGCTTGCCTTGGTCCCGGTGGCACAGCTCGAAGCTAGCACCGAGGAGGAAAGTGGAAGGACAGAGGTGGA